AACTACTGGCTATGACTTTGTTTGCTTCTAGTTCGTAAATCTGTTTTTTGATTATCTTTTCTAGGATCTTCTCAGATGTTAAACTGATTGGTCTGTAGTTTCCTGGGTCTGTTATTTTTCCTTTCTTGAAGATGGGAACTACATCAGCCCTTTCCCAATCCTCAGGTACTTCCCCGGTGCTCCAGGATTTATGAAAGATGTGGTGCAATGGTTCTGAGATAACATCTGCCAGCTTTTTCAGAACTCTGGGATGTATTCTGTTGGGTCCCGGTGATTTATATTCGTCAAGATTGGATAGGTGTTCTCTAACCATTTTCTTGCTTATTTTAATTTTTGTTTCTAGTTTGTCTTGCAGTCATTTTTTTGGTATGTTGGGCTATAGTTTCTTTTTGTGTGAAGACTGATGCAAAGTATGAGTTAAGCAGTTCTGCATTTTCCCTGTTGCCTGTTATTTCCTTGCCATCTTCTCTCTTTAGTGGGCCTACAGTTTTTTCTTGTTGTTAATATGTTGGAAGAAACTTTTTTTTTATTATCCTTGATTTATGTTTCAAGTTTTTGTTCATTCTGAGCCTTTGCTTTCCTGACTTCATTTTTACATGTTCAGGCTGTCTGTCTGCTAATAATTGGCCTTAGTTATGTGCCCCTCTTTCCATTTTTTGTATTTGTCCTTTTTGTCTTTCAGTGTGTCAGAGAGGTCTTTGTGCAGCCATGCTGGTTTCTTCTTGAATTTCTTGTTTTTCTTTCTCAATAGTATTGTACTGGTCTGGGCTTTTATGATTGCATTTTTCAGGGTTTCCCACACTTCTTGGGTTGTTTTCCCCTTTAGGATTTTCATCCACAGGATTTTTCCTAGGTTCTCTCTGAGTTTGTTAAAGTTAGCTCTTTTGAAGTTTAAGACACCGGTTGGATTGTTTTCTATTGCTAGTGTTTGCATTATATTAAATTCCAGTATGATGTGGTCACTTTCACCCAAAGCAGTCAATAGACTAAGACTAAACATTACACTGATCTTCAAATCACTCTGTTAACCATCAGTTGTTATATTTAGTGCATAGAAAGTCCACAAACGGTTTCCATTCTCTTATAAAGCTGTCTAGTCCATTATCTCTTGTTGTTGTTAGTTGCGAAGTCGTGTCCGACCCATCGCGACCCCATGGACAACGTTCCTCCAGGCCTTCCTGTCCTCTACCATCTTCTGGAGTCCATTTAAGCTCACGCCTACTGCTTCAGTGACTTCATCCAGCCACCTCATTCTCTGTCGTCCCCTTCTTCTATTGCCCTCAATCTTTCCCACCATTAGGCTCTTCTCCAGTGAGTCCTTCCTTCTCATTAGGTGACCAAAGTACTTGAGTTTCACCTTCCGGATTTGGCAGTCAGGGTTGATGTCCTCTAGGACTGACCGGTTTGATCGCCTTGCAGTCCAGGGGACTCGCAGGAGTCTTCTCCAGCACCATAGTTCAAAGGTCTCAATTCTTTTGCACTCAGCCTTTCTTATGGTCCAACTTTCACAGCCATATATTGCAACTGGGAAAACCATGGCCTTCACTATACGTACGTACTTTAGTTGGCAGGGTGATGTCTCTGCTTTTTAGTATGCTGTCTAGATTTGCCTTAGATTTCCTTCCCAGAAGCAAGCGTCTTCTAATTTCTTGGCTGCAGTCCCCATCTGTGGTGATCTTTGAGCCCAGGAAGATAAAGCCCATTATCTCTAATAAAAGCAATTAATTTTGTCATCTCTGCTAATTCAGTCAATGTCAAAATCTATTCTTCAACAGTTTGCATCCCTTTTTCTTTTCAGTGTTTGGCAAATACAATCCTTACAGCCGTCACTATGTGAACTTTATCATTATTATTATTATTATTATTATTAAAAAAGAAAAAGCAGTGTGTGTGTGTATACACACACACATCATTTTTTGTTGTTAGTGCTGAATGTATGCTTTTATTTTATTTGTTTTTCTGTTTTGTATTTTACTTTTTATGGTAATAATAATAATAATAAATAAATAAATAAATATAAATAAAAACAGCATGGGAGGATCGATCCATTGCTTTTCATCTGCCACTGTTCTTCTTTTGTGCTTCTACATTTCTTGGTTAGGTTGTTGAGAATTTTTTTTCATTAAGTTGTCTAATTTTGGCAGGGTTGGGGTTTATTGAGATGTAGGTTTCTTTTTCCTCCAACAATTCTTAGGCTACCAGATTTTCTTATAATAAAGTTAAACTGTGTTTCTAGTGAATTCTGGAACACAGTTGGAAAAAAGGTAAATCATAATTAAATATATTGGTTATTTTAATTCTTGTTTTGTACAGAATATATTTTGTTCTGTTGTTTTTTAATAAAACTTTTTCATAGCATGGTTAAATCTTTGGAGGGTATGTTTACTCTGTAAATAAGTAAAAGTGAACTGAGGGATGCACAGTACTCTGATTGCTCACCCATGATTAAGCTTACTAATGTGAACAGCCTTACACACATTATAATTTCATAAGGTTTTTTGACAACTTACACAATAAAACATTTATGAAGGAGAGCAAGGTTAAACACAGTAGCTCCAATCCTTGCATTAAGAAGGCTCCATTTATGTAATCTGACCTTTACACAATTCTGAATTCTGAGAAAGTTACAAATATGTGCACCCATAGAACTCATCTTAATTGGTAAAGGTCAATTTCATGGAAGAATAATCCACCTAAATAGAATAGATGTGCTAGAGTTGTATTTAAGAGCACAACCAGAAATTTTCCCATGGAAGAGTAGTATTGTCTGTCTCTGTCTCTCTCTCTCACACACACAGTGCTAAAACTGAATGCAAGTGCATTTATACCTGACTAAGTTAAAAGAAGGCACATAAGATAAATCCAATAAAGCAGAAGAAGGGAATTTTAAAGGAATATAGATGAGATTCCAAGGACAATGCTTTGTTCTGAAGTGAACACACATAGCTTACTTTCAGCCTCAAATAATACATTCTTATAATAATCTTTCATTCCTTATAATTCCAGACCTAATTAGCCAAATTTTAATCGTGTCTGGAATTACAGCTAGATGGAGTAATGAAGCTTTATTCCAAATGGGGCCTTCATTAATATTTTGCTCCCATTTCAGCTTTCTAGTGCCTTTTTGAGCTAGCTGTCACCAAAGTAATACAAGGAAGAATGTTCCTTTGTGGTAGGCATGCTAACAGGATCTCCAAGCAAGAGGCTATGCTTGCTGATGAGAGATCTTCTATAGCACAGCTTTGTCTGGATTTCTGTCACATCTATTAACTGCATTCATTTTTTTGAAAGATTGGGTGGAGTATGGCCACATTTCTTTTTCATTTAGACTAGACAATGGCAACTAGCCCACTCACAAAAACCAACCCACGTATTCCATAATTCAACCATGTACAGGAATGAATTATTTTTCAATTAATAACATGTAAGTAACAGGGTCAGCTAGTAGTAAGATTTCAATACAAATTAGTAGCAAAGCTTTGAAATGGATTGTATACCTCTCAGCCACCTACTTTCATTGTACCATAAATGTCCATCCACTCAACTCACATTTGTCTTTTCACTTCTAGACAGTTGATAGGCAGAACTTCACTTTTTTGACGCAGGCTTGTCTATTTAAGTCTACATATAAAAGGAAGGCTTGATTTAAATTAAAAGTCTGCAGAGACATGGTGTAATTCTATACTTTTACAACGAAATTCAAGCCTGGCTCCCTTGAGAATTTTTTGCATCAGCATTCAGTTGACAAATGATGATTTACAATATACTTTCAAATCAGATGTAAAGCAAACCATCTTCGAAGCTTCCATTAAAATATGTTTAAAATCAATAGTCTGACTAGTTCTGGGATTAGTAAATGACCTAAGTTTAATAGTCAGAAGCTAGTCCAGTAAATTTAAATGGGGGAAGCAAACTACAAACATTTTAAAACAAGGTAATATTCAGACAACATGGTAGCTCAAATGATTGCAGCATTTTCAAAGATAACTCAATCTTTCTCAAAAAGAAAATCTCAATAATATATTTATGTCAAAGAATTGCTTTTCCAAACAGGTCTGAACATTCTGAGCACTTATTCAACAATAGATCTCAGTTGTCAGTAACATATGTAGAAGATTGGGTTATAAGAGTTGAGCTGCCTGTTATGAGGAAATAGAATAGAGCTGGAAGGGACCTTAGAGGTCTTCTAGTCCAGCCCCCTGCTCAAGCAGGAGGACCTATACCATCTCAGACAAGTGACTGTCTAGTCTCTTCTTAAAAATCTCCAGTGATGGAGCGCCCACAATTTCTGGAGTCAAGCTGTTCCACTGGTTAATTGTCTTCACTGTCAGGAAGTTTCTCCTTAATTCCTGTTTGCTTCTCTCTTTGATCAGTTTCCAACCATTGTTTCTTGTCTTGCCCTCTGGTGCTTTGGTGAATAACGTGACCCCTTCTTCTTGGTGGCCCCTCAAATACTGGAATACTGCTATCATGTCTCCCCTATTTCTTCTTTTCTTTAGACTAGCCAAACCCTAGTCCTGCAGCCATTCTTTGTATGTTTTAGTCTCCAGGCCTTTGATCATCTTAGTTGCTCTTCTCTGAATTTTTTCCAGACTCTCAACATCTTTTTTGTGATAAGGTGACCAAAATTGGCTGCAGTATTCCAGGTATGGTCTTACTAGGGTTTTATAAAGCTGTACTAATACTTTGCATGTTCTTGATTCTATGCCTTTGTTTATACAGCCTAGGATTATACAACCCAGGGAAGTTATTTAGTAAATCTTTTCCAGTCTAGTTCATTGTAGATATGTTGGAACTAAACTCCCAGAAAACATAGCTGACATGAGATCAAGAAACAGTGAAAAATAATTTTCTACAAGTTAGACTCTCAGGGAAATTTTGGAATCTCTCATTTTACAAATTTTTGTAGGTTTTACAAATGTGCAGGTTGAACATAATTGTTCAACTGTTCTGTATCTTGCTGTCTTTTTTCTTTTTGAAAATGCATTTGAACTGCAAAATATTTGGCAAGCAATTTTCCCTTCCCAGGCCCACCATCTCTCCTTCAAAAAATGTTACTGTGAAATTACCCCTCCATGTTAGACTTATAAATAATAGAATGGCCATCACAAAAATCAGGTACGGCTTTTAAATATTCGTTCTAAGAGTGGAGCTTATCTTTCAGTGACTGGTAAGTTTTGGATTAGTTTTAACAGTAGCCTTCTCCCTCCAAATGGTATACAAATCTTGCTTATTCAGATTCATTTAGAAGATTTGAAATAATATGAAGAGTAACCCTTTATTTATTGAGAAAGTTCATTTTAAATGATCTACTCAGTTATGTAGTTCTTGAATGGAGGAATGCAAAGAAAATGAAGTTTCAAAAAATGAAATGACAAAAATGACAGTTTCTATGTTTTTTTTGACAATGGATGTATTTTTATATTTATATCATTGCCTTCTTAATCAGAACAGATTAGTGAGAAACCAAATGAGAATAAGTCATTTTATTTTCTTTGGTTTGTTTGGTTGTCTGCCAAACACAATAATCAAATACAGATATGCAATACTATCAAAGGGGTAAGTTTTTTCCCCATAAACTAAGATTTATAATCTAGATCCAACAGGACAAAGAAGTTATCCAGCATGTGTTATCCCTCGGCAATAAGTCTGTTTCAAATAGAAAAGTGTGAACTGAACAGATTTTAAAGAAAAATTTCCACATAGCCCAGAATTGTTGGGTGCAGCATACAAATATAATAAAATGGGGAAGTTATGTTATCCGATTTAAGTGCAGTGCACTTAAACAGCAGCCATAATCTGGATCCACAGATTTTAGTGATTCCAGAGAAACAAATATAGGATGTCAGTGTTGCACTTTGGATGAAATAAATCATAAAAATATTCCCTATGGAAGGAAACAATAACTGTAAAAATGTTGGGCATAATACATCTAGAAACTGAGTATTTCTAGATTCTATAGAATGAGGTTGGCAATTTAAGCACATGGGATTTTAAAATTGCTGTACAGTTGCGGGAGCAAACAAAATGGTTTAGAACTCCGAACTTGTTTCCTGGAGAAAGGGTTCTGTAACTTGAGTATCTGGCCTTTCCTGCTTCTCTCATTTATTATATCCAACAGACTGGTCCTATTGTGATAATGTATTTTTCAGCTGCAGAAAAAACTGTGTTGTTAGTACAGTCATGCACAGACAAGGAGAAAAATCACAGACAACACCAAGAACATGCAAACACTTAAAAGACCTGAAGAGACAACTGTGAAAGCCAAACAAGAAACATCCCAACAAACTGAAATTTGTTCTTTGCCACTGTTAAAGGTATCTCTTATAAGGAAACATCAAGATATGGAATTCTCTCATTTATGTGCTAATGACAAACACAATCCTTTGAAGGACAGCCAAGAAAGTTTTCTTGGATCTTGCTGTTTGGACTCCAACACTGGTTCAATATAGTTTAGGCACTCGGCAGTCGTGTTGCCTCTGGCACCACCTTCAACTCCCATTTAGCTGCTGTGCTTCTCTTTGTTTTCTTTCATTTGGGGACTAAGTTCAAATGCTGGGAAGTGAGACTTTTCTGGAACCAAGATGTCAGAAAGGAAGTGGATAGCTCCTGCCATACCTGAAAAAAGTAATTTCAAAAGAAATGTGGCATCTTCATTCATAATTTTAACCAGGGGCATGGTGGCAGATATTTTTGGGAGAAACTGGACTAGCTTTAAGTCAATACTTCCTCATTAAGATGTACAGTTGTCAAGCAAGCCAACCTGAGACTAACAATTTTCTTTTAATAAAGAGGTCACAACTTGGAGAAAGAGTCAAGGGGCATCAAATTCCCATCCTGGAAACAGTATCTACTAGTATCTTACATTTTTTTCTCTTAAAAAAAATTATAGTGCTGAAATTTGGTGGTATGTTCTTGGAAGAGTCTAATGAATATTAAAAAAATCAACTAACAACTTGCCTATTGTAATCTTATGCTGATTAAGAATTACATAGGAATCCCTGCAAAAGCCCTTCTTGGACTAAATCATTTAGTAAGTAAGTAAATAAATAAATGCTCTAGAGGAAGAGGATTTTCTGAACCCTTTTCTGTCAGTATTCAGTCCCAGGGCTGGAATGGGAGTAGCACTGGTTGTTCTGGTGTATGATGTATGCCAAAATCTGAATGGAGAGAAAGAGCAGCTCCCTCAGGGTTGCCCTAGTCCTTTCATATGGAGCCTTTGAAAATAACATGACTCACTTAGGCCATATTAATTTCAATAAGTTACTGTGTGAAGGAGAAATGGAATATAGGTAAGTATACTATCACTCATTTCAATGATTTTCTACTCATCCAGATCTATGAAGTTGTAAAATGTCCTTCAAATCCAAAGACATTTTTCAATCTGCTGCCTTCCAGAAATTTTGGATTAAAGCTTGGTAATTTTCCAGCCACGTCATAGAAATGCTTGGAAATTCTAGGAGTTACACCCCAAACCCATCTGGAATGCCACTCTTTGTTTAAGCATTCTGATATCCCATATCTACATTTCATATGTATTTTGTAATATAAAACCAATGTTAGATAAATCTCACTGAGAACAAAAGCTATAAGGAACAAACATTTATTTATAAACATAGATTGTACCAAAATATCCATCCTGCCTTAACTACAAAAACTCTTAAAAATGGGAAAAAGCTGGAAGTTAGCAAGAAGTGCCTTAGAGGTGTGTGAAATAATTTGAATTTTAAAAGTAGGATTAGCATCATAACGTTTCTGTTGAAATCAGATAGACACATCACATTTGTAAACTTATTCGGAGCTTGACAGATACAAGTATTTTGGTTACAGCCCACTCAGTTTATCAGAAATTCATATACATCCAAACCTGGCTTTATAGTCCTGTGATGCAAATTTATGATTGCTAAATACAGAATTCAAGAAAACAAGCTCTTGCCTTCAAACAATGAGTAGGGTCGGTCAGGAATACGGCATCCGTGTGCACCATAATCTAGACACCATTCAGCAAACTGAGGAAATATGACAAATAAACAATAATCTGAATAAATATGTAATTTGCACATTACAGATTACATAATGATTTTAATCTCTATTAGTATTACCTCTAAAGAGAAAATGACCAGGAGTTTTTATAATGAGCTCTAGTGAGCAAGAAATGGCCCACAGGTCATAATTCAGAAATTCAACTGCTAAATATGAGAAGATAAGGGCCACCCCTAGTCTCGACCACCATTCAGGTAAATTCAAATTGATATTAAGAATAAATTATCATTATCAACAACATAAGCATGCAGATGTTGCATATCTTGCTCCTTAATTCCAACATACCTCCACTAAAATGAATGAATAAATAAAATAAAGACCTAATATAGTTATCCTCATTGAAACTTTTTAATAGGAAAGAAAATCATCTGTGATTCTCCATAGCCTCTATTATCAATTGCTAACTAGATTCTGTGGCAGACTCTTGCATTTAAACAAACAAATCCAACCAAATTAGCAGCAACTTTAAGTCTGCAAATACGGTTTCTGACCACAAACAGTTCAATAATCTAGCCAGCAGTCAAAAAATAAGAGACTGAATACTTGGGGGGGGGGAGAAGAATGGGGGAAACTATGGATGCAGTTGGGAAATGAAATAGAACACTTTGCAAGGGATCATGGCTGGCTGGCTAGATACCTAAACCTGATCCCAAGCAGCCTATATTGCAGCTCTGAATACAGGCTTTTCTATTGGTTTCGGCAATAATAATAAATACAGATTCTGGGCATACATCTGCCTTCCTTACTATCCCTTTGGGTGGCAATCATTTTAGCAGAGGGCAGTCAAATTCATTCTTCATTTAATATAACCAGAAAACCTAAAAGAAAATTGTGATTACTATGTTCAATGTAATCTTGATTTATGAAGCCCCTTTCTGTTAGAAAACCAAGTGGTACTTTTATGTGGTGATCTTTTTTTCTGACTATGGGAATATAGAAGTAGCTTATTCTTCCTGTTTGATTTAACTAAGGAAGAATAAATCTTTCAGGAACACATCAATAAGAACGGGTTTAGCGTTTCTCTGCACGCAGACGAAAAGAGTACCTTGCAAGCTCGGTAAAGATACTTTTTATCTTGAGTAAGGTGATAGAGGGACAGGAAAGAGTAGCCATTTCCAGCAGTCCCATGACAGATTCCGTATCCTTTCCTCAATAACCCCCTTTGCCAAATGACATCACTACATTCCATAGCATCCTTCAAATATTTATCTTCCTTGAAAACCTGTGGATATCAAGAAGCATAAAATCAGATGCCATTCTTTGCCAAATGTCAGCACAAGGTAGGAAATGCTTTTGTAACTACAGGTACTCCTCTACTTGCTACTGTAATTGAGCCTGCAATTATGGTCATTAGCCATGAAGCTTTTTAAATGAGTCACCACATGACCATTCCTGATTTTGCAACCTTTTTTGCTGTTGTCATTAAGTGAACACCATGGTTGTTAAGCAAATTCATTGTTCGCTATGGAACATTTTTTTGCCAGAAGCTGGATGTAAACACTGCTTTATGGCAAAAAACATAATTAATTGTGGTTATGTGACCACACGATGCTACAAACAGAGATAACTGTAGACACTGCTGAATGCCCAAAATGTCACGAAACTGCATAGGGAGGGAGGTGATCATTGGAACTTTGATTCTGGGTTTTAAGTAACTTTTTGGGGGGTCTGTTGTAGGAATGTTTGCCAAGTGACCAGTCGTAAATCAAGGACTACCCATGCACAGATTTAAACCAGAAATCTCAGAGACTATTTGCACACTCTCTGTAGAGGGACAAAGCATGAAATGGGCAAGGGGATATTCTTTTATGTAGGAAAGAGAGTCCCTTGTGGAAAGAGTGTCTACATTTAGAGATTACACATCCCTGCAGAATTGCTCATCCACATTCCACTAATTGGATGAACTGTCATCTAGGTGTTTCAAACTGCTTGCAAGAGCCCTGTCCAGTACTATTACTCCCATAGCTACCTGGGCAGATGAAGGTACTGAAGCTGACAAATCTTCTAAAAACCAACTTCTTCAATGAGGTGGATTTTCAGCTAAGGACTTCAAAGTTCAAATGTAATTTATCTGTTGTTTTCTTTCTCAACCCACTATCTAAATCCAGACTGGAAGCTTCTCAAAGCAAGATATAGCTTCAATTTATAACATTCAATATACACTTCGTATGTTCCAAGTTATGGAACAGAAAGAACCAGAATGAAAGAAACAGCCAGAATGCAGTTTGGAGTAATTATTTAAAACATAATTTGTCTCAACTATGGGGAAGCAAGCAACTATTGTAACTTAACTCAATTTGTGTTGGTTTACATCAAGACTTACTGTAGAGAAGTAGCTGATTAACATGATTAACCCACAGAAGAATAAAAACTGTATTACATTTTAGAGAGCAACACTGCAAAGTGTTGGAGGAATGGATAATACATGCTATATAGGTTGGTATTAAAGTCTGAAAATTACTTTTCATTTCAAAGCATGTATTTTTCTACTATCATTGTGGGGATCAAACAAGGATGCACCTTATAGGCTTGCATGAGCATATGGATGACTCCAGGTGCCCCATGACACCAATGCACCAGCCTGTCTGTTTCATTGCTTAAGGATGAGGGATAATTCCCAGATCGGAATTTTTTATGCCGCACATAGTCAATGCTTGGTTTCAAAAGTTCCATCAATATCTCCTGGTCAACATTAGCTGCTGGCTGCAAAAGTAAATAAGATTTTATTTTTTTCTCACACAGTAAAGAATACATTGTCATAAAAATGAAAAGTTTTGGTCATACATTATAATGAACCTCGTGTCCATGCTGAAGATCTGGAAAATAAATCCCTCAATTTCTCTTTGTTTGGCTATCTTACAATTAAAATAAAGACCAATCTAAATTGCACTTTGCTCACTGTGCATTGCTTTGTGTATCACAAGAATTTTAACAATATTAACAATGATATGATTCACTTAGCTTTCTGCGACAAGTAGAATAATAACTTGTTCATATATACCAAGAGGGATGTTAGCTTTCCCACATAGTTAGTGTTTCCATATCTTGTAATAGTAAAATACTTGGGTGACAAATGCTTTTGGCTTGCACATTAAACTAGGATTCCAAAGCTAGTATGCACAAATTTCACGTGCAACTTAATATCTATTTGCTATGAAATAGCTCTATAAATCCTTGAAATCTGGATTTAAGAGTCACAATACAAAATGAAGATGTGCATGAACATTCACATCTCTTAGGGCGGGGCTTTTCAATCGGTGGTACACGTACTATCGGTGGTACTTTAGCACCTGGCTGGTGGGACACGACCCTAGCCAAGCGTAGTGGGGGAGGGAACCAGCTAAAGCAGCGCCGCACAGATCTGGAGATCAGCTGGAGCTACAGAGCTTGGCAGAAGCCCCAGAATCAGCGCACATGGCGACATGGTAGTTGGAGCTTCTGGTGCACCCAGAAGAGAAGAGGAGGGCAGAGAGAAATATAAAAGGGGCAGAGCGAGAAGAGGCTTTTCTTATCAAAGCAGTGAGGAGAGACAGAGTGGCCTGTTTTGGGAGGAAGGGGAAGTGAGCAAGCGGCGTGTTTCCGGGGAAGAGTGAGCGAGCAGCTTGTTTAGTGAGCGGCTTGTTTTCGAGTGGAGGATTGGTTAGTGAACAGCCTGTTTAGCAAACAGCGTGTTTTCGGGTAGAGGGTGAATTAATGAGTGGCCTGTTTTCCGGCAGAGAGGGATGCAGCTGGCCCGTCTGTGAGAATTGATCTTCTCAGAGCTTCTTTTCTCTGACAAAAGCAGGGAGAGGAGGGCTATGGAACCCTGAATGATCTCTATGTAAATCAGGTGGTTTTGAAGAAGGATATCCATTGCTTTCTGAAAAGTACTTGGAAAGGTGCTCTCAACTTGAATAAAATATGTAAAATTCTTCAGAGCAGTTTTGTGGGTGGGAGCAGATGTTCCTATGTAGCTAGGTAGCTACATCAGTAAAAGGTCTGAAGCAGCAGTGCTTTAATTGAAAAATGAGCTCTGACTGGTAGGCAGCTCACTGAACACCTTGCATGTGGAAGTTGGTTGCACAACAGCTAAATTATTAGACATATGAATATTTCTGTGATAAGGTAATCATTACTAGAAAAGGGATTAAGTATAAATTACTGATAAAAGTAGTCATCATTTAGTGACTGCCTCATTTAGCAACTGTTCAGAGTTAACAACTGATGGAAAAAATAACTGGGCAACCTATCCTTGCATTTAGAAACTTTGCAGATCTGTAAAGCTGAACAGAGTTCATAAGCACAGCAGTGGCATCTCTTAGCTACTGCCTTACTTAATGACCAAGTAACCAGTTCCAAATATGGATGGTAATTGAGGATATCTGAATTGTCAAAAGTGCAGCTATTTTCAGAATGAGTGACCAGGTACAGTAAATCTACCTGAAAAGCTTCTCAAATGTGGAGCATCTGTTCTCAGGCAGCGAGAGCCAAGGTAAGATATGATGGGAGCTGCTCTGAAGCAACCTTCAATTAATTTCCCTATCTACTGTTTTGATTCAGAGGACAATACAATGGTGTTTTTTTGTAGGAAGGGCGAGCGGCCTGTTTTCGTAGGAAGAGTGAGAGAAGGAGAGTGGAAGAATGGCCAACCAGCCACCTGATCATTAAGGTAGTGGTGCATATTAATAAATATGGAGAAATTCATGATACATTCATCAATGCAAAAGGAAAGTGATTCAGCAAAGGAACCACCACCGAAGAAATTAAAACTGGCACCAAATCGAAAATACAGTGAAGATTATTTGAAGTTTGGATTTTATTTCCTGGAAGAGAATGATCAGCAGCTTCCTGTTTGTGTTATCTGCAGTGAAGTATTATCCAAGCATTCCATGAAGCCTTCTTTGCTCCCAGAGACATTTTACAACAAAACATAAAGAGCACACTGAAAAGCCAGTAACATTTTTTTGTGAAGAGAGATGAATTTATAAAATGCGTGCTGCTTTCATGAAGTCCACAACCATCTCGAAAAGATGTCTGGAAGCATCTTATGAATTGTCCTTGATAGCAGCTAAACAAAATAAGCCTCACACAATCATTGAAGAAGTCATGGTTCCCTCTGCCATTACAAATGCTTCAATTCTTTTTGATGGAAAAATAGCTGATGCTATTCATAATATTCCATGTTCTGATAACACCGTCCAAAGACAAATACAAGATATGACCACGGATGTTATTCAACAAGTGGTGGAAAAGATCACAGCAGCAAAAAATTTGCATTTCAATTGGATGAAAGCACTGACATCACTGGTGAAGCGCAATTAATTGTCTTTGTGCGTGTTCCTAATTCGGATGATATACTGGAAAACATATTATTTTGCTGCCCACTACCTGGCAGAACGACTGGGAAGAAATATTCACAATAGTAGACAATTTTTTCAGTGAATATGGAATATTATGGACTTGGTGTGTAGGAATTTGTTCTGATGGTGCAGCAGTTATTACAGGAAGAGCTTTGGGGGTGATAGCACGAGCTAAGGCAAGAAACAGTTCCATTGTTTCAAATCATTGCATCTTGCATAGACATGCACTTGCTTCTAAACGGATGAGCCCAGTGTTACAGGAGACTTTGGAGCATGCTGCAAAAATAATAAATTCATCAAAAGCCGGCCATTGAATGGACGTTTATTCCTGCAATTATGCAAGTATTTGGATTCTGAGCACAGCACTCTTCTCTTTTATACAGAAGTACACTGGTTGTCAAGAGGTAAAACATTATCGAGATTATTCGAGCTACGAGATGAAACGAACCTGTTCCTGGCAAATGTTTCATCACCCCTAGCAGAAAAGTTTGAAAATGTCTTCTGAGTATCCTGCCTTGCCTATTTGGCTGACATATTTAAAAAGCTAAATAGACTTCCAGTTTGCCATCACAGTTCCATGGAAGCTGGAAAACAAGCTCCACCTTTCGCATCCAAATTCATCCTACTGGGGGACCCTGGAAAGGGTCGAAAGCAAGGAGGGGACCCTTGCTTGATCCCGGGAAGGCGGCAGCCCTTCCGTTTGATCCAGGGAAGCCCTCCAAACCAGTAGGGGAAAGACCGACCATAGCAATATGGCTCATCACTAAGCTGCTGACAGCCAAAGTCAAAATCACTATCAAGCACCTTTAAAGCAACGTGGATGAAACTAGGTGAAATCTGACCCTCTCTTTAAGACTTTTAAGTATTTTTTCCTGTAAAAGCTGCCCAAAGTATTTTTCCCCCTGAGGAGAGAGGGAAGAGAATTTCTACCCCACCCTCTAAGAAAAGCGGCGATTAACTACCCAGGGGAAACAGAGCAACTATAAGAACAATTTTAATCCAGTTGGATATATATGCTTTTGAAACTTGGGAACTAAAAGTGTTCCTATTCTTACTGGAGATGTTTGTTTTTATCTAAAAAAAGAAATAAGACTTGAAAAACTATCGTAAAAACTTTGGACTAAAATGCTTTAAAGTTTAAACGGTGTCATTGAGATCTTGTGGTGAAGTATGGTATTACAACTTGTTATTGCCTAAAACAGACTTGGCTTGAAGCCCAGACTCCAGAAAAAAATTTCCTTGACCTTGATAGTTACTACCTGTGAAAAACTCAGCTGCAAAGAAGGAACTTCTGGGCAGCATATCTGGCCTGTTTGAACTATGAATGTAAACTTTTACTAACTTTCAGAACTATACTTGGGGAATTGCTTTCCTATTTCTTTACATGAGAAGAATATGTTATTATACGAGATGATGGAATACCTTGGACTATAAACTCTTACTTGACAAATAATTTCTACTATATGTTTGATTTTAAAGTCTTCAACTTAACATACTATCAAGAGAATATGAAGATCAGGGGGAAAATCCTTTCCATGTTGAAATCAATACATAAAACCATTCTTTCAGCTTGTGACAAAATAAGATGCAATATAAAGGAACAAGAAGTCAGCTTAAATATACAAACCCAGATTTTGATTACAACAGAAGAACTAACAATGCAGAAAATAACAGGAAAAGTGGAAAAACTAAACACTAAGAGGACCCAATTGACAGATTCAGCCAATGGAAAAATCAGAAAAGGGAGTGACAACACTGAAAATGGAAAAAACTTTAAACAAAAATCAGAAGAAATTTGAGGAAAAGGAAGAAGAACAGATTGAATAGAAGATAAACCTATCAGGACAATTGTGGGAAATTGGAGTAATAGGGAGGTGATTTAATGGACACAAATGGGCTAGTTCTTCCAAAACAACTTCAACCAAATGGTCTTTCTTATTCTAAATAATATATATAATAATAGAGGGAGAACTATTTGATGATTCAAAAGGTTAGTTGGCAAAGGAAGACAGCCAGAGTAAGGCTGAAGAAAATAATGGTTTTGATTTATTAGAGGGGATATCACATTACTAACTAGAGGGTTGAATGTGGTGGAAAATAGATAATTTTTAGAAAATAAAGTAACATTATAATTGAATAGGTAAGATGCGTAACAAGACTAATAGACTTTGGTATGAAAAGGGAAAAAGGAAGAAGTTGAGATAAGGGAAATTTTGGTCACTAAAATAAAATATTTGGAAATCAGTTGAAAATAAGAATTCTGTTTATCCAATATGAGATAATAGATATTACCAGACAAAGAGAGGGAATATTTGAGCTTTTAAAAATTAGACCTAAACTAAAAAAATTATGTATATTACTGATTTATTGGTTAACCCAGACAATACATATAATGGTTTTGATTTATTAGAGGGGATACTGTATTATTAATTAGATGGTTTAATATGGTGGAAAATAGATAACTTTTAGAAAACAGAACATGACTATATTCAAATAGATAAGATGTATATTTAGAATATTAGATTTTGTTATGAAAAGGGAAAAAGGAAGAAGTTGAGATAAGGGAAACTTTGGAAGCTTGGAAATTACAAATACCAAATGTTAATTTGAATATTGATGGGAAGAGTAAAGGAGCAGCTTCTTCATTTATTTGTTAAATGGATAAAACAAATGACACCATCCTGAAGTTAAAACTCAGGCTCTTGATGTTGTGACACACAAATGAAACAGGATTGCAAGTCAGTAACAATATAGGCTATACCAATTAGTCACTTACGTTTGATTCATTTGGAAGCAACAAACCAGGATCCTGGTTTGCATCTCATATATGCTGCTACTGATAGGACTACGTCATATCTTCGTCTTTCTATAATATCTTAAGCTTTTCTATCTCATAATGTGTGCACAGAAGTATATTTGGGATCCAACCACAATGTGTTAATCCTTTGTTGAACATTTCCGCCTCACTGTCTGGAGCCAATATAAATGCCTTCTCCTTTTTCTTAACAGCCCAGCTTATATCAATAACTGGCCAATGGCAGGCTGCAAAAGCAGCAGTTCAAGAATGACTTTGCTCTGGGCAGACAAGTGATGGTAAATATTTCATTTCAGCCAGGGCTTCACTTTGTATTGCTTTAGATCCATTTTAAGCTCTTGACCATCAATAAGAAATAGACCAATACAAACAGCAAAAGTGATTTGAGTGTAGGATCAGAGTACTGGAGAGGCAATGTTCATCCTAGAACTCAGGCCCGAGCCATCGTCCAAAACTGACTAATGGTCATCTTGCTGAACAGGGGTTAGTGGCCTTTTCCACAATGCTGAGAAACTGCCAATCACTAGTAAAATAGCTTCCCTTCCCAAACAATAATTTCCCAGTAAAATTAAGCTCTGTGCTTTCTCAATAGAGCAATATTTCAAAGTGGAGTTAGAGAACTCATAGCATAGTCTGAAAAGTAGACAGCTGCTGACCAAAAGTGACCATTAGAGAATTAGATGACCAAAAAACAAATACATGGAACATCATGAAATCTTTGGTCCTGAGGTTGTTTGCTTGAGATGTTTCATTCAACTACGTAGTGTCATTTGTGCTAGTGAGCGTGGCATTTGAGCCTGCAGTAGCTTATCCTGCCAGTGTTGGTAATTCCGTGATTATGGTATTGTTAATTGTTAGTTTGGTGTTAATCTTCCCCCCTCCAAGCTGGTCCCTCAGGAAAGTAAGACTATTGAATCCATGTGGCTGAATCAAAATAACTTTTATGGAGATAAAGTGGTTGCAGGAGAGTCAGGCGCAAAGCACAAAGCTCTTCTTTTGTTTTCCCCAAGCCCCAACCCCTCAACCAATCCACTGGCAGCCAAGATGATGCCATGAACATGTTTTGAGATGCTGAGGTGCTAGGCAGATAACAGATCACTCTCAGGGCATGACAGCCTTGGAACAAGGCTGGAACTGGTTGGAAGTCTACTTCATCTCCGAAGACAATCCCAGTCCCTAATTCCCAAGCACTAGAGCAAAGCAAAAGCATCACAAATATGCCAATGTTCCTCCCTGCTCTAACAGAATGGCAGGGCACGAAGGTGGTCCTGACATTCTGGTTATTTGATGTAGATTGCTGTCAAGGATATGTTGTGTTTTTCTGTTTTCTTCTTAGCATTCTATTGGCTTTTTTGAATGATGTGCAAATGTAGCTCATCTCTATGTCTTCTTTGATAGTTGATTTGTCTAATTGCCATGCTTCAGGAATTTTCTAACATTCTTGGGTTTAGCTTGGTCTTTGATACTCACAGTATCCCAGTTGAAATTACAACTGAGTTTGTATGTATTGTGAGATTAAGGATTTTTCTTTGTCTGACTGATACTTAGTGTTCTTGGATGTACTCTGCTAATCTTCTTCTTGGCTGCCCTACATAGTGGTTGTTATAGTCCTTACTCTGTTATAGATAATTCCTGTTTTTTTTCTTCAACTACTAGGATTTTTGGGATACTTAAGATGGTCTGGAACAGGGGTATCAAACTCAATTTCATTGAGGGCCGCATCAGCATTGTGGTGTCCTTAGGGGAGCCAGGGGGCCGTGGCCCATTGGGTGGACATGGCTGCAGTGGTCATGGCAGACTGGGTGGGTGTGGCTGGGGTGGCCGTGGCCACCTCGATGTTGCTCGTGGGGGAAACCTATGGGGGCCGGGCAGGGTTGGGGGAGATCCAGGGGGTCTCTGGCAGGTGGGGCGATGGGCAGGAGGCTCATCCTATGGAGGTGAGGCAAGGCAGGGGGCAGGGCTGCGGGGCAAGGCAAGGCGAGGCAGGGGTGGCTGGCCTCTATGTGCGGGGCCAATGGTGTCCATTAGCAGCCACAGCATGCTGACCCCTCGACCGGCGCATTCTGGGACACCGCAGCCTGCTGCAAATACTGGGCCAGCCCTCCAGCAGTAGGTGGAGTAGGGGGGCGGCATGTGATGCAGACCACTGGACACGCCTACTCCATCCCCTCGCAGATTTTGTGCTTGGCCCACGTGTGGAGCCTGTTCCCCTCAGGCACCCGATGCACCTTGGCCCCGCCTCGAGCCACCAGCAGCTCGTGCAGGGCCATTAGGCTGCCACTGCCGCCCAGCGCACCTGGCCCGCCCAGCACAAAGGAGGCAAAACAGCTGGCTAGCAAGCAAAAGGCTACCCTGAGTGGGAAAAGCCGGAGCTCCATCAGTGCCATAGCCCCCTAGTCCCAGCTAGGATTGCGTGCCTTCCCCCCATCTCTGCTGGGCCTGGGCGGCCATGCCGCCGATGGGGATTCAGCTTTCCCTGCTCGGGGTGGCCTTTTGCCTGCTGGCACTGGGCGTGCTCTACCATCTCTACTCGGGGCTTCCTAGCTGACCGCTTTGCCTTCTTTGTGCTGGGTGGCCTGCAGCTCTGGGCGGCAGCCTAATGGACCTGTCCGATCGGCTGGCAGCTGCAGCAGGTACCGAGGTGCGCGAGGGGAATGCGCTCCACCCATGGGCCAAGAGTAAGACCCTCGAGAGGGCCGAGATGACCAGTGGCGACCTGCTTTCCAACCAAAAAGAGATGGGACAGAGTAGGTGTGTCCCGCAGTCTGCCACACATGCCCCCCCCCCCCGACTCCACGTGCTGCTGGTGCTGCCGCAGTGCTGCTGCTGGAGGGCCAGCCCAGTATTCACAGCAGGCTCCCGTGCACTCATTGCCTCCTGTGTATGCGCCTTGGGGTTTGCTGAGCTGGGTGGGGCCAGGGCGGCGGGGGCCAGCCCCTCGCTGTCTCCAGGGCATCCCAGGGGCCAAATATTGGCCAATCACAGGCTGGATCTGGCCCGCGGGTCTTGTGTTTGACATGTCTGGTCTGGAGGGTTCTCCAAGTTTGGATTAACACCAGTCAAAAAATCACACAGAAAAACAATATGCTAATCAAGGAAAAACCACGAAGAAAACCTCATTTCTACCAACATTGGCAGGGAAACTATTGTAAATAAACAGGAGACAAACCCCATACTCATAAGAACTGATGATGTTACCTAGTTGGGTAATGAAACATCGGAACTGCGAGCAAACAACCATGCTCAAAGAACACCAAGGATTCAACTATTCAACCTTGAACTACATATATTCTCTTCTATTGGAAGATGGAACATCACCTGCATAAGCATATAGTAAATCCCAGCCACACCATGGGCTGCCCCCACATACTGTTTCCGGTGCCACTGGTACAGCAACGGGCACCGTTCAGTCTTTCGTTCTTCTCTGGAAAAGTTTTTCCCCGACTGAATGATGGATTCTACAACCTAATGCAGAGGAGGAAAAAGAAGAACAATCTACAAGTACACTATTCTTTTAATTTAATTATTATTTTCCCTAAATTATGCAAACGTGTTCTTGCAGTGCTTGTTTTCTCTAAGAGGTTCCTTGGATACAGCACTTGAGATTTCCTATGATATCATGTCATTGTTTCTATATAATGCAATATTTTATCACCCACAAAATCACTTTTATCACCAAGCTAGAGGGGATACTAAAATATCTAAGCTTGCTGGAATGCCGATACATTACCTATTCAGACAGCATTCTTACTTTCACTAATATCCTTCCTTTCTGGGCTATTTCAGAATTCCTGAAAGGTTTATTTTGTTATTACTAGTTTTTGTAAGTTTTCAAGAAGGCTAGATGCTGGAAAACAAAGCTCATTCATCTTTGGTTAAGAAGTCCCCTAGTAAAACAGTAATACATGGGACCTTTTGGTTAATTTTCTGAAAACTAAGCATTCTCCTTTTCTGCTCTTGAAAGCTGATATCAAGTTAGACTATTGATTTAACTTCACCATTACCATTGACACTAATAGGGAGTATTTCCAGGTTTCAAAATGCAATGTGGACGTTTCCATGAGCCACTTTATATCCTTTGGTACACATTATGACCTTTGATACTGTGCACCCCCAAAATGCACTGCAACAGAAAACCAGACACCCATTGTAACAAAGAAGAAGAATGGCAGAAAGAGGGTGAAGTGAGTTATAAAATAGAACAGGGCAAGAGGGAAGTCATGCCACCAGGGACTGTATCTGTCTCCCTCTTCTACCTTTTTTGGGAGTACACAGGCATGGACAGCAATATCATGAGGGCATTGCTTTGGACCATTTGGGAATTCCAAAAGTTTAGAGGCAAAATAGATACTTTAAAGTTAAAAATAAAAGTCCAAAGTGGATGGCTATGAGAGATTTGGTATCTTAAGCCAACCTAAAACAATGAAAAGCAACTCCCCTCTTGATTGCTTCTGAGCTGTGGTTTTAAAATAAAACATTTGGGAAAAGATAAAGAAAGATTTGGGTGGTGCGGCACAGTTCAGCACAATCAAACTGCTGGATGAGACATACACAAAGGAGAGAGGAACTGGAAAACCAAAGAAAGCACTATGAACATCTAGAAATATCCTCCTTTCCAAAGCAGCTAATTCAAGTTGAAATCTCTGGAATATCACTGAAAGAAAGAAAAGCATACAATATTGGATTTAAGTGACCATTTGTGGGAAAGTGGTATCCTTTAAATTTAAGTGTTTACAATATTCAAATTGAATTAGGCAATTAGGGAAATGATGTAAATTGATACAAATGTCAACTGGAAAAGACTTTTGTTTATTCTTTGGAAATTAAAATTCCACATACAAAGATAGCAAATCCTATATACAAAAACAGCTGAATGGAGATCTACAGAATTAAGATTGTATTTCCCTTACCTCTTTGATTACCGACTGTGGCACTGTCTCAGGACCAATTTCAGTATTCAGATAAAGCAAAGCATACAGGTAACCAGATCTTCCATAAAGCAATTCATCTGGAAGATCAGACTCTGAAGCAAGGACTATTCTCTGGAGCTGCAAAAGTCTGTGCAAACCAGAATTGAGAAAAGCAATAAAACTCTAGTTTTTACATTAAATCTCAGATGTAATTATGGGATGTGTTCTTGTAAGTCTTCACATGATTACCGGAGTAAGCAAAAGCTGGCCTCCACTGAAAATTCTCTTGCATTTCAAATGTGTTTGAGTTATATCTAGTTGGAAATGGCTAGAGCAGTGTTAGAAAATTCCTGGGGGGATGGGGGTAGGGAGGTGAAAAACTAGCTAATTATAACAAAATTGTCCCCATAAAATGTCATAGATGGTGTAATACATGCAAAAGTGGACAGAGTTTCTAGAGTTTTTGGAAGCTCCCCCATAGATGCCCCTGGCAGCCAGATGTTTTGGAAGACAACTCTACTGATTCCAATCTCATTTATTTCCAATGAAGCATGTTTGGAATCTTATCTTTATTACTCTTTGTTTACGTTTCACAAAACTCCCCAACCTTATTATTAGGACATGAAGAAGTTCCATGTAAATGAGAGATATCATTTGCAAAAGTAGTGGCAGAGATTAATCTCCCACCAGGCATGGATTAGGTGGCAACTGATTAAAATTCTAAATATAAACATCAATAGAAGGATGGAATCTCTATGAGCCAATCAACCATCCAATGTAGAAGCAAGAGAGAACATAAAGAATGCAAACATCAAACACTTGGTCTTTATGACTCTTCAAACATGACTGTTGTCAATTTCAAAGTAGCTGAATGACAGGAAGACTTTCCAAAAGCCTCAAGATCAGAATATTAATTTCCATAATATTTTAAACAATTAGAATAAAAAAATTAAGACACACACACAAAATTAAAATAGGTCATTATTTGGCACAGAAAAAATGACAATGAGGACAAAGTGCTCTATCATCATTTGATAGGGGGATTACTGGGAGGTAACTGGGATTGCTTGCCAGTAATCATCTGCCGGATAAAAGGCAGTCTTATACCAAGGAATATTTAGTCAACCTAGTCTTTTTGTCCTAGTCAATCTCAGTCACTCACTTGGCCACACATTCCTTGGATTCACTATCATTTTTCATCTTGTGATACACAACTGCTCCCACTGCTAGAGGTCCAGCATCACCACAAAGAAAAGTAACTCTTCTTCCATTCAGATTACGTAGGATTCTCTTCACATAATCCAGGGATCTCTGTAGGTGAGTCGGCTCCTTTGTCACACGATATAGCTGAAGATACAAGAGGGCTATGCCTGAAATTGCCACACAGAAAGAAAGATGGAATACTTAGTCAGTGGTTTTCTCTACATTTCTGATCCCACATCTGATATACTGGAGGCATCATTCATGTACACATCTAAATCCAGTAGTTTAACCTATGTTAAGGGCCAGGCCTGCCACTAAACTATCACATAAATACAATTACTTATAGTTTTTTTAATTTTTTACTTTGACCTCTTTTTGCCTTCTCTCTGTAACTCTCTATTGCTCCTCTTGTAGGAAACTGTAAGAGTTGGATTTTTCTAAATAAAAACTAAGAGAATAACCTGAATCAGTCTTGCAAAATATCCACATAATTGTTTCAATGCTGTTATATTGTGATTACCACATACTGGGCCAGTTGCAAATTCCACATTATTTTCAATAGAAATGTAGAAAGCCATACTTGATGTTATCCAGGATGTGTCACCCACATCATGTCAATCTTCCTCAGAAAAGGATGCAATTGGTTATTAGCCCAAACTTATCAAAATCTCCCTATTGGGGCTCCCAGATCAAAATAGGTTTCTTACAAGAGAGTTCAGTTTCATCCAGAAGAGGATTGAGCACCTATAAAAGCTGTGGTGACGCAGTGGTTAGAATGCAGTATTGCAGGCTAATTCTGCTGACTGCTGACTGCCAGCAGTTCGGTTCTCACTGGCTTAAAGTTGACTCAGCCTTCCATCCTTCTGAGATCGGTAAAATGAGGACCTAGAATGTTGGGGCCAATATGCTGATTCTGTAAACCGCTTATAGAGGGCTGTAAAGCACTGTGAAGTGGTATGTAGGTCTAAGTGCTATTGCTATTGCTATAATCACCAAGAGCTCAGATTTGTTTGAATTTATCTTTAGATTGTTCTCCAGCATCAGACTATTAAAAACTAAAACATGTACAATAGAAGCTCTTGAAACAATCTATCTTGAACTTTCAGGAAAGAAGTGCAACTGGGGATCATTATGTACTGGTAGAGCTGGCTCCATATCAATGTATAATTTTCATAGATACTAAATAAGAACAAGATCAACCATGCAGTATTTCACAGGATAATTCCCAAGAAGGTCAAAGAGATATATCCCAAGATCACCTTCTGATAGCATTGTAAAGAGGAGGACCATTTGAACTCAAGCTGTTCAGATATTCAGGGATCTCAACAGAATTCCTATTTCTCTGTTTTGTTTTCAGTCCCTGGTGCGTTTTGTCTATTAGGCCTATCAAATCCAAAGTGAGAAGATGCACTGGCTTCAAATGATGGCAGTACTTGTTTAATTGTTCAGAAAATAAGAGTACCTGGGCTATAAAACTAGATCAAGTATTTGAAAAATATCCTGTAAATAATAATTCACTTCTGTGCTACTGCCAAGAAAATTACTTGAGTATGTGCACAAAATTATCAAGAATCCTTGACTCAAAGAAGACTTTATTTTAATCCACTGACAGATCCATGACTCTAGATCAACATTTCTCAATTGGTGTCCTTCAGAAGTATCAAGATTAGGGAGTTATAGACCCAATACCATGAAATGAATCAGGTATACTTTAGATAGCTTAACATATAGACCAAAAATGCTACTATTAACTATATGGAGCTGTGTATAATAATAATTGTTTTCTCGACTGCTTCAAAACCCATTGAATTTGGTACTCAATGTATTTTGACACAAAAGTGGAATGGAATGGAATGGAACAGAACAAAAGAATAATTATTTATTGGCCAAGTGTGACTGGACAGACAAGGAATATCTGCGCTGTATAAGCTCTTAGTGTACACACAAACAACAAAGTGATAAGTCATGATTGTAAAGATAGAGTCATAAATCATAATACAAACAAATGATAAATCATAAGATACCAATTAGGAGAAGATAATACGTAAGATGAGAAGATAAGGATAATGACAATACAGGTAGTCCTTGACTTATGAACACAATTGAGCCCAACATTTCTGTTGCTAAGTGGAACATTTGTTAAGTGAATTTTGCCATTTTATGTTCTTTCTTGCCATGGTTGTTAAGTGAATCATTGCAGTTGTTAAGTTAGTATCATGGTTGTTAAGTGAAACTGGCTTCCCCATTGACTTTGCTTGTAAGAGAGTCGTAAGAAAGATACTGCAGCGATCACAAATATGAACCAGTTGTGAAGCATCTGAATTTTGATAATGACCATGGGGATGCTGCAACGGTTGCAAGTGTGAAAAATGATAAGTCACTTTTTTCAGTGCCATTGCAACTTTGAACGGTCACTAAATGAACTGTTGTAAGTCAAGGATTACCTGTACAGCCCTATTATGTGGGTAAATATGTGTTGTGGGAATTAGGTGTTTAGCAGAGTGATGGCATAGGGAAAAACTATATTTGTGTCTAGTTTGTTTGGTACTGTGATAGGAAAAGAGGGATGGCCATGGGGAACAGACAGGAAGTTGGTCATGCTGGGAAGATTGCTGACATAGGAAAAGGAACAGACAGGAAGTCCTTCCCAACTTACACAAAAGGTTGCGATTTGTTTGGCACTCATTTTTAGTACTCATCGAGCTTCCCAGACCCAATTAACCCAAGATACCACTGTCTTTTGTGACACTGAAGAGAAGCGATTTAAGAAATAATGCATTTTGCTAAATCATGTTATTTACTAAAATACGGTATATTCCGGCATATAAGACGACTGGGCGTATAAGACGACCCCTGACTTTTGAGAAGATTTTCAGGGTTTAGAAAGTCATCTTACACGGCTGAAAATACGGTAGTTGAATAGCAGGAGGACAGCTTGTGAGACCAAGCCCATCTTAAGCCATGTTTTACTTTCTTTTTGGACAGATTAAAAAAAACCCTATTATTCCTGTCCACTCAACTGAGGTATACATAGAACAGGATATGAATAAATAGATTCTTCTATTACCCTAAACCATTATGACTGGTTTAATGTAGGTTACATATATCCAGCTGATGTTTGCAAATCATGGCTTATGGCTTTAGCCCATGTGTGAAGGTACTGATGTTTATTCAACAACCATAATTAAAGCAAAATAGCTTTAAATAGCACCGACGGCTGTCCGAGCCAGTCCCGAGCCGAGCGGAGACAATAGGGGAGGGCGCAACCAGCCGCCCGACTCCTATGACACCGCCCGATCCGCTCCGGCCCGGCCCCTCGGATGCTGGTCCGTCCTCCTTCCTCCTGGTCTCCAGTTGGCCCTCGAGCGAGGCAGCTGGGCGAGCGGAGTCGAGGCGAGGCGGCGTGGGAAGGCGTACTTGTCCCACCGAGGCTCGCTCCTCTCTCGCTGGCTGGCTGGCTGGCGGGGGCGGGCTCAGCCTTTGGAGAAAGAGCGGAGGAGGTGGTGGTGGCAGCAGAAGAGTAGCGAGGATCGATTGGTCGCTTGCAACAAAAGGGGATGCGAGCCAAGGCCGCGAGGTGGTGGCGCAGCCGGGAAAGTGGCGGGGAGAGCAGATAGTTCCTTCTCCCCCGCCCGCAACATCAGATTTTTCTTAATGCAATCACTCTCCGGCGGGGGGGGGGGGTGTTGCAAACTATCAATATAAATCTATGGATAGATGTATATAAAAACAATCTCCCCCCCCGCCACTCCCAGAAGCAACCTTGAGCATTTTCCCTTCCCAAGCGTTCATTATATGGATACTGTATATTCCGGCGTATAAGACGACTGGGCGTATAAGACGACCCCTGACTTTTGAGAAGATTTTCAGGATTTAGAAAGTCGTCTTATACGCTGGAAAATACGGTACATTTAAAATGCAAAAACACTTATTAGGTTATTAAACAGGTTAAAAAAGAAAAGCTTTATGTGCTGTGGAACAAGTGATGGGCCTTTATTACAAAAATATTGGTTCCCAATTCAATTAACTATCAGTTGTCCTTGCCTGTCCCACAAGACCTACAGCTGCACGATGAGTAACAACATGTAATATATCATTCTGAGCTTCTCCAAGGAGAGGATGGACACAATGGGTAGAAAAAAAATAAATTCCAAAAATAAAAGTAATATGAATAGATTTACATTTAACTCACATAAAGCTCCAAAAATATTTTAACAGAGTGTTGTATTTAAATGTTCATGTTCAAAAATAAGGCTTGTCCTAGGAGACTGGTACGATTCCTCTTTATTTCTTACTGTATGCAAAAGTTTGAATTCTTTCATGACTCAGGAATGAATTAGCAGTGAACTATCTGCATCAGAATTTTGTTCTATTACATTTCTAAAAAGAAAAGCAAGCGAAAGGCAGCAATATTTTTTAATAAGCTACATTTCACCAGCATTAGGCTGTTTCCATTTTTTTAAAGCAAACAAATCATGAATGCTACAATTTTGTCACCTCTCCTCCTACAGAGCCATCTGTCTAGAACACTTTGCATCCTCCAAAGCCATTAAAGAGGAACAAGCTGAAAGATAGTGATCACTTTTAATAATAGAGTGGGATAATAATCTGCTTTCAAATTTAACTTTTGTTTGGGACAAAATTAGAGAAGTGAATGTGCTTTATCAAAATACCAGCTTTTCAGGTCACTCCCTGAGCTAATCCCTGGAAATAGTCGCTGGACAACGCTGTAGAACAGAGAGTAGGGAGAAACAGCTCTCCAATAGTGATTTGAGCATCCGGTTTTGGGGACTCCTCCTCAACTGTTTCTATCCCAGATGATCATTATTACAATTTATCCAAATCAAAAATTACTGCCTAACTCTGTTCTTATCTCTTCTTTCCCCTCCCTTTCTTTGTTAAGGATCTTTTAGGTTTTAAGTTATTTTGGGAATCTTTTCAGCTATATTGTGGAGTTAAAAACATGATAAAAATAAATGTTAAATTTTGGATGAATTGCATAAACTTTGATTGCAATAGGCTTTAAATGAAGAACTAGGGACCCAAAGTTAAAGGTCTGAAAAACTATGTATGCTATCTTGTACCTCTATGTACACTTTCTCCTGCAAGCAATGCATATACTGTGCCCATAAATTGCATTCCATTCCCAACATCAATTCTTCCATATTTATTTTGCTATCTTATATTCTAGTTGGCCAGTCCCGGGGAGAAGTTGTACAGAACATTCAAGCCTTGGATAATACATTTCAGGGTAATACATTCCACATTCTGCAATTCATTAAGCATTGCCTCTAAGAGACACACATATAGGTATGCATGTACTTTTCCCTAATCCCCCTCCTGACTCTCCAAAACTTCAACAACTCTGTCTTGCCATCTCTGCCTCTCAGAGAATGAATCTGTAGATTCTTTTTTGTTTGTTTTAGTTTGCTCTATATTTCTTCCTGATGAATCTGCTGCTTTGAAAACAAATTCTTCTTGTAGATTTATAATATTAATAATAGAGTTGGAAGGGACCTTGGAGGTCTTCTAGTCCAACACCCTGCTCACGCAGGGAACCCTATACCATTTCAGACAAATGGCTGTCAGTCTCTTCTTAAAAACTTCCGGTATTGGAGCATTCACAATTTCTGGAGGCAAGTTGTTCCACTGATTTGAAATGTTTAATGTTTGTTTTTTTTAAAAATGTCTTGCATGTATTTTATAAGTTGATCAAACCTTTTTGAAAAGAAATCAACTAAAGACTGCATCTTGCTGGCCAGACTCTGTTTTCCTCCTTGGGTATCAGCCTCCTCCTTCTCAGTGTAATACGATCGATCCACTATTGCTCAAAGCAGAGAAAGAACAGGAAAGTAGGAGCCAGGGAGATATTTTCTGAGTATTTTGATCCAAAAAGTTTGAAAGTTAATAAAATACAAATCCAAAGTCATGTGCTATGTTTCCATACAGAGAAGAGAGCAAAAGAATTGAAGAGAGCAATCAACTAAACCAAGGAAAGAAAGTCAAAACAGAAAGAATCAGCAGAGGTTGAAATAAATCAGCATTCAGCCATCCAATTAACCTTTGAAGATATAAACAAAAGCAAAAGTTCAAAAAGTAAACTTAAAAATTCCAGGCATGCTTATGATAACGTGCTGCTGGTCAGAGGATGGCAATGTCTATTGACTTTTCAACTGCTTCCACAGGGAGCTGCAATCTAAACGATTTCCCCTCCCAGGTGGGTCCACAACCATCCAAAAGTCATCTAGGGTCAATCTTAAGGGCCCCTTTTCAAATCCAGGGGCCAAGACTGCCAAAGAACCAGCTCTGGCAGCAAAAATAACGGAACATAAGAGAAAAAAATCCTCTTACACTTCAACAGTCATTTTGGGGAGGAGTTTTACTCAAAGTCATTTCTGACTTTGTTTTAAGATAGGGAATCCATCAGGGTGAGGGGAAAAGGGGATTATAAATGTGCTAAAACCGGACAGATTATAGACGAAATTAATTTAAATATTTTACATTCTTTAAATATTTCATCTGGACTCCTTATAGCATTCTCACAGACCCAGAGAAAATTGTGTCTCCATGACTAAATGTATTTCAAGCCTGCATTAAAAGAAGGAAGAATTCCTTTCTCTATGTGATCAGACATTTTATAAAAAAATCTAAACATCTGATCTTCTGAAGTGAACTAAAGAGAAGATGGAGGATGTATGCCAAACCAAACCAGATTCAACATGGCTGAAACTTTTCTGCCTTAATTTTTTTAACACATGATTTTTTTAACACATGATTTATATATTTCGTTACCATGATATAAAAAGATTTGAGATCCTAGACCAGTGATGGCGAACCTTTTAGAAAACGAGTGCCCAAGCTGCAAGCCAAAACCCACTAATGTATCGTCAGATGCTGGGTGGGCGTGGCCCATTGGGTGTGTGTGGCCCATTGGGTGGGCGTGGCTGCGGTGGTAACGGCAGACTGGGGTGGGACTAAAAAGTTCAATCAATCAATTCCAACTTTGCGAGATCTTTTTTTTTCCCGTGAGAAGTTGAAATTGATTGATTGATTGAACCTTTTTTTTTTGCACATGGTGGTGGAGGCCTAAAGCAAAAACATTTTATAAAACCCAGCTGAAGGCCTAGGACTGGGGCGATGGCGCGTGTGCCCACAGAGAGGGCTCTGCGTGCTATAGGTTCGCGGTCCTAGAAAGAGTGCAGAGAATAGCAACAGAGATGATTAGGAGATGGAAGCTAAAACATATGATGAAAAATTGCAGGAATTGGGTATGTCTAGCCTAGTGAAAAAATGGATCTGGGGTGACATGATAGCAGTTTTCCACTATTTGAGGGGCTGCCACAAAAAAGAGAGGGTCAATCTATTCTCTGAAGCATCTGAGGGCAGGACAAGAAGCAATGGATGGAAACACATCAAAGAGGGCACCAATCTTGAACTAAGAATAAATTTCCTGACAGTGAGAACAATTAATCAGTGGAATGTCTTGCTTCCAGAAATAGTGGGTGCTCCATCAATGGAGGTTTTAAGAAGAGATTGGACAACCATTTGTTTGAAATGGTATAGAGTTTCATGCCTGAGAGGGCGGTGGAGTAGAAGACCTCCAAGGTCCCTTCCAACTCGTGTTATTGTGTTCTGTACCTTCTTCACAATACTATTAAATCTGCTACAGATGTATTCATGAAAGGGGAGACAAAACATTATCAACAATTGGAATATTAACAGAATGCAACTTGAATGTAAAATCTAGTGCTTCATATATAATGAAGGTCTTATGACTTCATTTCCAAATCAACTATCAAAGAGTTCAGGTATCTCACCTGTCCAGCCAGTATATGCAGAGCAATCATGAGGATCTGCTGTTTTTAATCCTTCTTCCATTTGCTGCAATAAGTCTTTAATTTTAGTTGTAATTTTCTTATTAAAATATGAGCTGATCTGCAAAAAATAAGGCTAGAAATGTTTAAGACATATTATGTGCACAGAGAAAGGTCTGATTCAGATAACAAATTAAAGCTTCGTGAATAAAACACACAAATCTTAAACAATAAATTACATTTACATAATCATATTTAAGCAATAAATCACATTACAATGTAATGTATAAACATTGGGGGGTTGTAAAATGTTTGGGGACTGAAACATTTTAACTCTCAAAAGTTTCTGCTTTGGATGGAATGGGTTATTTCATCTGAATTGTTCAAACCTTACTGGAAATATTCCAGTTTGAAATGCAGCATTTTGACTACAAAACAGGAATTACAATACTCCTCCTTCAAGAACAGTACATTTCAGTATGTCCCAAAGACAGTTCTGAATTTGGAACACATATTTTGTATTTAACCATTTTGATCCTGAACTGTTACACCTTCCTAATTACACAAAAATCAAAGTGAAATCAGTAAAACCATATTAAGATTTAGCATTATATATGAGCTCAGTCAGCATGTTTGTTTAGCATTCAAAGGAATATAAGAGACCCAGCAACTTTGAGACTTAGTGTTTCATAATGACTTTTAATTACTCTGGCGAAGTAAAACTTTCAACAACTTCTCTGACTCTGCTTCAATCATCCTTTTTTTTTTTAACTTTATAAGGATTGTTATGGCAGCTAAGAGAAAAATAAATGGCACCCATTTATTATTTCTTGCTATATGATTGCATGCTTTCAGTAGGGTTTCATTCCAATTTCCTTTGTTTTTCAACTTCTCTTTGAAACAAGAATTTTGTAATTTAGCCTTAACAATGGATTTCACCCGACCAATTGTTCATAGCTAGATGAGGAAGAAGACAAGAAGCAACTACATATGTTTATGTTGCTAAGTGAGACATTGTTAAATGTATTTTGCCCCATTTTATGACCTTTCTTGCCACAGTTGTTAAGTGAATAATTATAGTTGCTAAGTTACTAAGTGAATCTGATTTGCTTGTCAGAAGATTGCAAAAACTGATTACGTGACTCCGGGACACTGCAATGTCGTAAATATGAACCAGTTCTCAAGCATCCAAATTTTGATCATGTGACCATGGGGATGCTGCAATAGTTGCAAGTGTGAAAAATGGTCATAACGGTCAGTTATAATTTTTTTCAGTTATTACTTTGAACTGTCACTAAATGAACAGTTGTAAATTGAGGACTACCTGTACACCCTTTTGTGGCTAGTGATCCTGAATGATGGTGGCTGTTCTTTCTTAGTTGGCAACAATGCATGTTGCTAGTTTAAACATATTTGCTCTCTACCATAACTCAATAGAGCAGGAATATTAGCAGGAAGTGATACAACCTAATAGCAGTGCACAAGACAAGTACACAAACATTATATTAAGATTTAGGTTTGTATTATAAAATATCGACCATTATTTGGGCTACATAGTCAATGCAATATTTTTATAGAGGAGTCCAACAAATCTGTCAACTTACTAAGTTGAATTTTAGCCACTGGAATGTGAAAATATGCAGAAAATAATGGGCTGAAACCAGCCAATCCATCACACAATATTTTGAAGGGATGATTTATTCATCTAATAAAGAAAAAATATCCATCTGCATCCATAAGATTTCCAAGAAGGTATGATTTCTTTAGAAGAGTTCTAGTATTTTGTGAAGAAGAACTAGCCTACAATTTGACAATATTACAATTATGGGCCACTGGCTAATATTTCCTTTCTTAGCAAATTTTGTTACTTTAAAAAAAACGGATTCATTTTCAAATCTATTTAAATTCCTGCCTTTAGTTATTCTCTAGGAAGAAATCCCTTAAGTATGTGGTTCTGTAGATTGTCATGGATTTCTCAATGGTTTTTCATACCATTAGCCATGATATCATTGTAAATACGGTACATATACTCAGCTGGAATGTGGGCTTCATTATTTGATATCAATACCTTGGCATAATCTTGGAACTGTAGATTTTTAAATAACACATACCGTATTTTTCGCTCTATAAGACGCACCTGACCATAAGACGCACATACTGGTTTTTAGACGAGGAAAACAAGAAAAAAAATAAGTTCACCTAGGCAGCATTCATGCCTAAGACAGGACTAGAACTCACAGTCCCAAAACACAACAGATCTGGGAATCCATCAACAAGATCTAACTCAGTTCTTAAAGAATCTAATTTTACCCCATCCAAGCAGAATCCCTAAATGTGCCTTTTTGTCCTTTAAAAGAGAATCAATATTCACGATTCCTTACTGGGGAGGGAAAAAAAATCTCTGTGCAGGGACTCAGGATTCCAGCAAAAAGTCAGTGACTTCTACCTTTGATGGGCGATGTTTGCATGCAGAGCACATAGGACACACACACACACACACAGTCTCTATGTACAATGCACCGTCTTGCATAGATCAGCCCATGATATTGACAGCCCTTTTGCTTATTTCCTAATGCCTCCCCCCCGTGTTATCTGCTCCACCCCGAATTCTCCTCCCTTCCAGTCTCCTTAAGCAGCCATTTATGATCTTAATATAGTCCTCAGTCTGTCTCCCTTTCCACACACCCTAAAATTCTTCCTTCAGGCAGGCTTCCAGAGGTCGGCTGGCAGGATGCAGGTAACCCCTCCCCCCTGTTCTGCCACCTCCCACGGCGCCGCTCCGCATCCCGTGCCTCTGTGCCTCAAGCCCCCATGTCACAGAACTGACAGATACCCAAGGATGATATAAGATTGCCTTCACATAACACACTTATAGTTAATTCAGTCATGGTTTACTGTACTCAACCCAATTTTCATACAACCCATTTGACCACTGATCACATGGTTTGGGTTTACACACAGCACTAATTTGTTTCAGGATACTATAAACACAGTTGAAAACTATTCCATTATAAACAAAGCATAGATTAAATCTTGGGTAAAAATGTTTTGGTGTATTCAATATTACTAGAAAGCACATACAGAAAATGCATTGCATTTCTTAAAAGCACCGAAAGAAGAGAATATTTGTAGCTCAGGGTTGAACATTAAGTTCTGCTTAGCTGTCACAGTCTTTGCACGTTTTCTTAACCAAAAGCAGGCTTTGCCTTGTTTGGTCACGTGTACGGTAATTCCCTTTTCTGCACGCTACACTTTAGGGACAGTCTCGCTTCAACAGCAACTGACCTCCTCGCAATCCATTGCGACTCTCCTCACTTCCCACATTCCCAAACGTGGAGAAGCAAAACGCGCCCCACTTTAATATTAGCACAAGCTAACGGCGGCTCCTAGGCAAGCCTACCAAACCTTACGCTCCCTAAAGCTCAGAGGAGAAAGGGTGCAGCCCAAGCCGAGCTCTTGATCAGTTGGCGCAGGCACGTGTGGATGCAAGTCCACGCGTTCGAGGCTTCCCTCTTTCCACTCTAAAGCCGGTGCCTCACCTTTTGGACCCCGGGGAGAAACGGCGCTGCTTTGGCCGTCCGAGCCCCGGCTCCACCTCACCCCGCTGCTCCTCAGCCGCTGCTCAAGCACTCCCCGAAAAGCTCCCGGCGAAGGAAGCAGCGCCGCCACCACCCGACCCCACCCAGCCGTTCTTTGGATGGGGGGAAGGCCTGCCCGCTTGGCAAGAGCAGAGGAAACGGGGAGGGGTGCCTTGGGCTGCTTGCGCCACAGGCTCTCCTCGCAGCTTCGGCTCCTTTCGATTTTCGGATGGGCGACAAAGCGGCCTGTTTCTTAGCGCTGAAGCCGAGGAAGAAACTCTGGGGCGGTTTTACCCGGAGCGAAATGATTGCAGTTTTGGGCTGCTGATCTCATGACCCACCCTGGAAAATGAACAAAACGACTTGAGGAGCCTGATTCCATCGTGTTTGTCGCGGGCTCGCTCAAAGGACAGAACCACGTTGTGGCTACAACCTGGTCATTTTATAATGGGGGTGGGAGGAGGACAAGCGGTTGACCTATATAATAAGAAAGGGGGGTGGGCAGGCTGACGACTCCTGGACCTGCGCCGGTCAGCTGGAACATCAGGCAAAGCTTTGGCCAGTGCGGAGGGCGGAGGGGAGGCTGCCGCAGCGCCGAACTCCTGCGCTTGTCAGCTGGGAGGTCTGGCAATGGAGCCGGCTGGCGGAGGGCGATGGGGAGGCGGCGACTCGGCGGGCGGGGTCCTGCCTGCCCACGAATGTCAGGCCCACCCGCCCCATTTGTAAAAGAAAAAGTCTTCCATCCAAGCATAACGCCAGCAGTTCTGTGACACGGGGGCTTGAGGCACAGAGGCACGGGATGCGGAGCGGCGCTGTGGGAGGCGGCAGGACAGGGGGGAGGGGTTACCTGCATCCTGCCAGCCGAGGGAGAGGGAGTAGCACAGCTAAGGAAAAGGGTAAAAAAAATGGCGGACTGCGACATTTGCTCCATAAGACGCACAGACATTTTCCCCCATCTTTTTGGGGGGGGAAAAGTGCGTCTTATAGAGCGAAAAATACAGTATATTATGTTAACTCCAAACATTTAAATTAGTGCATACAGTTCAAGCAAAAAGGGCCATTTTTTCCCTGCTTATTATATCAATTACAGCAAAGATTTCTGACAGTTTGTAAAAATGGTCTTTTGGGGACCATAATACGTGATTTACCAAAACAGTAACTCTGAGTCTTCAATATAAATAAAAAGCAAGAGAAATCCTAAGTGTATGCCAAATAACTAAACATCACTAAATCATCTGAAGTTGTCCCAATTAACTATTCCCTCAAGCTAATGTTTGCCATTAATTATCATTAGTCTTAAACTCACTTCTAAAGAACCAGTTAGACTCTAAACTAAATCGTAATTATATGGAGCATGCTGTTCAAAATATGAGGGTACATATACTTAGTGAATTAATTTTTAATACTCACAGTTCAACTATGCAAAGTCTATTTTAGTCCTAGATCTTGGTTAAAAATCTTCCTCTATAACCTGACAACCGAAGGCAACTGCTGATTATGCTCTGCAAAGCATCTGTCATAACTCAGGAACTCAATTTATACTTGACAAAATATTATGATTCGGTGATAATGGCCATGACATTACAGAATCAAAATGACAAGCAGCACTTATTGTGCATATCATTTGCTTATTAATTTGAATATAGACATTGATTTGGAGAAAATATATAGATGCAGAAATGGAAAGTTGGGATGAGACAAATAGGGTATGAGACCAAAAGCAACAAATCCACTTGTAGATGTGAACTGTACATAAGCACTCATGGTAGGAGCTGTAGATTTCAGAGACGAATGAATTGGGAAGTCTGACATGATAGTTTTTTCTTTTTCTTATCTACAGTTCATATTTAAAATACATATTTTAGATTTTTAAAATATAACATTCAGATTTCTTTTAGCTAAAACCTTTGTCTGCCTTTCTCTACTGCATCAAAATAGAACTTTTCACCTCTCCTTAGGGATAGAAAAGTGAAAGTTCTATTTTGATGCAATTAGGAAGCAGAAAGATTGCAGTTCTGCTTTGTGGGAAGTTCACTCATAGGATGTCTCCAAGTTGGAGGAATCCTTTCTGGGGAACATCTGGCCTTGCAATCAGTACCATTTTAATTTTTCACAAAACCCCAATGGAGATCCAGTGACATTGTTTTTGCTCGAAAGAAAGATATTGCAGCTTGGCAGATTTGGCAGCTGCCAGTGATGCTGTATTAGTGTCAATTCTGTATCCTGGAAACAATTCAGGATACAAGCATTTCAGATTTGTGAACTACCAAGTGACAGCCAGATATCCATATATGGCAGCCTATAAGGTACTCAGTTCTCAATTTCACTTTGCGTTCAACAGCAAGTAGCAATATTAGACATTCAGAGAGTTTAAGGTTATTCTGAATCTGATTCTTTGTGATTGACAATGAAAAACAAGTATTATTATATAAACAGCATGTTTGGGGATGGGGCATGTCATTAATAATTGTTCACACAGGTTGTCAATCCTTGCCTTGCTGAGAAAAAAGCAACTAAATTATCTTGAGACAATATTCTGGTCTTTGGGGCAAGAAAAAAAGGCAAAAGGTTTATACTCTAAAGAGAAAAATTCACTATATGAAAAAGAGACTTAAAAGAAAAATGAGGAGAGGTTTTGGAAGCCAGAATTAGCACATTGGGAAAGTATCAATTTATTAATTTTTTTGCAAGGCTGAAATAAATGCCTGAGACAAGGCATTGAAAGCTTAAACATCAGCTTTATATTCTTACCTAAATAACTATGTACTGAACTGTGAACTCGCCTGGGCAGCACATATTTCAACTCTTATTGAGCAAAATAGGTAACAAAAGTATTTTAATTTTATAGTGATAGTCATGGAAACGGGAATTGGATTTCTACTTTTTTTGTTTTGTTTGCTTATTTTTTTCCTGTTCATTCCTAGACAAGTTTGCTTAAAATACAAATCTAAGGCATGTGGTGGGATTAGCAAGGTGAGTGCATTAGTTAATAACTTGCCAAACATCATTAGTTGGTTGGACCCTGAATTTTGTTACTATAATCCTGGAAGATTCAAGGAGCTACCAAAAGAGAGCTGTAGGTTGCTTATTTCAGGTTTAGAACCAGAGAATATGTCAATGGGCAGATAGCCACACTTCTTAAAGTAAATCCTACAGGAGCCAGTAAGGCTTATTTCTGAGTACAGATTACCAAGGTATAATTTGGATTTTCCTGTCATCTGCTTAAAGATGTCAGTCCATTCTACAATCATTCTCCCAAAGCTTTCTTTTGCATAAATAACCTTTCTATGATTTGTTAAGTTGAACTGGCTCAAATAAGCAAATTCTATTTCAGAACATGGGAAAATTGTTGCCAGATTACCAGAGATCTTAACACTTCCCCCCATTGTTAAAGAAGATTGCTAATTAGAACATACTAAATTATACTTCCAATATATACTGATTCAGTATTTATGTCCCGTGAAAGAAAATCTATAGAAATTAGTTCTGATGGATAGACAGACTGGGATAATTCTCAATAATTGATCAAAATGCAGGTTTTATGCTCCTTTGAAAAAATTCACAAAAGCTCAAGAAATATCAAATATTTCCTTCAGATCTATTTGCTAAGATATTGGAATATTAATGGTGGTGATCTATCACTTCATATGACAAGTTCCTCAATTTATACTTCCACCATATTTATTTCTTAGATTTTTATCCTTAGTTTTTTTTGTCACCTCAACATTGCTTATATATCTAATGCTCCTGACTCCTATTTTCACACAGCCTTGCAAGGTGGTTGGGTTGGGTTGGTAGACAGTGACAGGCCCAAAATCACCCAGCAGGCTTGAATAGGAGTTCCCACACATCTTCCTAAAAATCTGAAAAATCAGACGAGGCTCATAGAATGGAACTCCACTCCTCCATTGACATTACAGCAATTTCAGTATATGAGGTTGAAAGTGGAGATACAAAAATAATTATTAAAGAGGGAGGGAATTTCTATATTCAATGAGCATGTGGGAAATCATCCCATTATATTTTCCACCAATCTGGTAATTAATATATGATAGCTAGCATCACTGACATACTCTTTTTACACTCCTACAGACAAAGAAGCAGCCTTCTATCCAGTTTCTGACATTTACGGAGCTTTGATTAGCTCGCGTTCCAAGTTCTTCCACACGCTTGGGTGTGGAGAAAGGCCTGGAGGGGAAGGAGCCTAGTATTAACGCGAGGGACCTAAAAGAGGGAGAGAGAAGACACAAACGCTAACCGAGAACTTAGAAGGAAAAATAAACATAGACATCTGCTATCTGCCATGACGGAACGCCCAGACACCAAAAGATGCCCTTTCCTCAGGATAGACTCCATCCGGTCCCCCAGAAGGCTTAGGATACGAAATACCGCAATCCAACCCTCCTGGCTGGCTTTTTGAAACGGGGATGTCAGGACAGACCTGCCTGTGGGATGGGTGAAGAACCAACGTTCAAAACAATGAATCTATCCGAGCCTCACAAGATATTCAGATTTGCGTTCCAGGTTACTGGAAACCAACTGTATTCTGGAACGCCGGCTTCGAGTTCTTAATTTAGTCGCCTCCAGGCCTGCATCTAGCTTACCTGCCCGTCGCTTTCGAAGGGGAGGGAGTCGTCTCTTTGGGGCGAAGCCGAACTGCATCGATTGTCTTCCGAGTCGCTGGGGGTAGGCAAAGTAGTGCTGGCCGAGGCGGTGCTTCCATAAGGCTGATAATCTGGATATGGGTTGTTGAACGCCCTTTCCTCCATCTCCGCTTCACTTCCCAATTGCACCTTCAATCGTTTGGACATGCCCTCTCCCATCTCAGCCTGCCCCCTGTCCTCCCACCTTCGAACGGCGAGCCAAGCAGGACAAACTCCCCAGCCAGGGATAATAACAGCAACGCGCTTTAGAGGTCGCAAAACGGCAGCTGCTACCAGCGCCTAGAAAGACAGCGGCTGTTGTATACCAGCCAAAAATTAAGGGGAATGGGGGGGGGGGGGGTTCGGCAGGTGGTGAAGTTATCTCCCAGGGAAGGTTGAAAATGCGACACGCCTCATCGCGGAGGGAAAACCAAAATAGGATGAATATCTAAAATCCTTAGCAGTTAAGGATTAAACAGTTAGCGCAAGTCCTAGTCAATCTGCAAGATGACAGGACCAATGTGAGACTATTGTTTGTCGTTTATCTTCATTACGGTCTTAAATCCAGCCAGCTTTCAATGTGTGGGGACGCACGTATAAATAATAATTTGTTCCCACCCCATTCTCGGGTCAAGAGGTAGAGAAACACCACACCCTCCCAATGATGGGGCAGTTTACTGGAAATTTGGCAAGAAAATATAGGAGGCCTATTCTTCCTGCGGCACACCTGGGAGGGGCAGACAAGGGAATCCTCTGGGGCTCGGGGGTATTCTCTAATTCCCCATTTCCGATGGATATCCTCCCGTCTCCCTTTTCCGAGACAGGTCAGGCCGTCGCTGTTGCCGCTACGGCATTTATTAACAAACTCCGAGGCTGCAAAACAGAGTTTTTGCCTCCTGCCTCTCCGCAACCGAAAATGATCGTCTCCAAAATCATTTTAGATCAAGATAATCAGGATCAGCAAGGGGAAAGAAAACGCAAAGAGTAGACAATAGACGAGAACTCCTTACGCAGAGACATTCGAACACCCTGAAATATTCCAAAGCCTGTCTAGGTATCTAAAAGTATAAAGAAAGAGATTTTTTGCAAACAAGACAGAAAAAAATCAGCACCCTTTTGTGAGTTATTTAGCCATCCATAGGAGGATCATGAATGAAAAGCTTCTAAATAAGGAGAGCTGTGGAATTTGGTAGAACATATAAGAAAATCCGATTACTTAAAGTAGCAGAACAGCAGCTTAGAATAGAGAATGAATTTTGTAATATAGATTCATACTAAATAATAATTTGTCTAATGAGCCTTATTTGCTAAATCTGTTCTGTAGTTAAACACGGTTGCTCTGCCAGATTAAATTGTGTTTACTACCTGGTTTGTGGCAATCAAAACCTTTGGATCTATGATGGAGCCCTCTGTCCCAGTATTTTGTTCTTAGGAAAATGATTGGAGTTGGATGTGTTTTGTGTTTCAGCTTTATATTCTTACAAGGATTTCAGTTGAAAATAAGTACAGATTGCCTTAAACCATAAAGTACCTTCCATTAGAAATTATGAAAATATTTTGCCATATCCCTGTCTACAAATAATACTAAATTGGTGCTTCTGGATTAGCTATTTTATTGATTGATTTATTTTTAATTTATTTATTGAATTTTTTACTCTGACTTATAAGATTTTAAAGCTTGAGGTATGAGAGAGTAACTCATCAGAATTGCCCAATGAATTTTATGGCTGATAATGATACCTGACTTTCCCCAGTCCTGAGACAGTTCCATGTCCACTATATCATTGTAGGGTTCTGGAACTGGAACTAGAAAAAGAAACAAATTATGTAGCTTTGCCTAACTATTGCTATGTTGCTTTTGTAATCAGTGTTTGTGTCAGGGTTAAATTTCATGCAAGAGTAGGAAACATGTACACAGATATGATGTACTGAAGGAGGGAATAAGGGAGTGTACAGGAATGATTGATGTCTTCCTTAGATTGTAATAACTCTGTTGACTGATTTTCATTGGCTAACAAAGTTTATAAAGCAATGCTACTAACTTTCTAAGATATGGCACTTCTGAATGCAACTGCTGCCAGTGTTCAGATTGTGTTCCCACCCAGGACTTATTTCGATCGAAAATAAAGTGCTATACCTTTAAGAAGCCTCTGCTTGAGTTTTCATGATTGGATTTTTATGATTTCTCAAGTTTTGCTAAGGGCCAGTGACCTTACAATACATTCCAGTCAGGATCTTGGCTATGATAAGATAACCAAAGAATTGCAATGTCTTGTATATTATGAGAACAATGCTACTTTTTGTACCTAATCCACTTTTTGCAATGTGATTTTAATTGTTGAACATAATCCAAAATGATCATTCTGTCAAAAAGCCTAGTGATGCCTGAAAATCTAATTAGCTCCCCCTCATGCCAATTGGTGGAAGAAAAAAGAAACAATGCCATCAAATGTTGCTGCCATGGTCTTGGCTTGATGAATGTCCCTAATAGGAAACAATAAGGCTGAATATTTGATGAGTTTGATGAGTTTCAAACTATTTTTCATGTGTTATCAGTGTTATCTGAACCATAATGTATTTCAGGTCCCTACCATGAGTAATAGCCCTATTAATAGTTTAATCTAATGAGCCCTTATCAACTATGCATTTTATAAATCATCCTTTTGAGCATTGTGCTTTGGAAACTTCGAGATAGGAAACAATGAATTTTGGAGCAGGAATAATATAAACTTCTGCATCTGATTGATTCTTAGGGAAAGATTACTAAACCTGTTCTGATAGTTATAGCAATAAAGACACTATTTTCTGCTATTTTACATCCTTAAAGTAGGTGACTAGTAGAGGCTTTCCAGCTGTTGGATCAGGTTTCTCAAACTCTGCTCTATCTATAGAGGCTTAAATTCATGATTAGCAAACAAAAAATCATTCACCTCTGTTTTAACTTAGAAATCTTTTTGCTTTAGTCTGTCTTTACAGGTTTTTAATTTGGTATTGATTGACAAGTTTTGAACCTTAAGATTTGGTGCTTAGATAAGTACAATTGTAATCTGGGGACATGCTTTTTAACGCTTGTGGTTTGTTACATTGAAAAAGGAAGACTTGTCTAATTGGATTTGGGAAGTAACCAATACTTCTCAGAAAGAAAGTGTCCTAGCTTCTTTATAATAGGGCATAGTATTAAGGTGACCAACCATCCTCCTTTAGGGAGGGCAGTCCTCCTTTTGTGAGTTCTGTCCTCCCTCAAAAAGTGTCCTCCTACATGTCCTCCTTTTCGATATTTGAAGAATAATCTGCAGGGCTTTTTTTGTCATAGAATGCTCAGAACGGCGTTCCGGCACCTTTTTTTGATGTTTTTTTTCAACTTTTGCATTAGCTGTGCTACTCCCCCTATTGGCTTTTGAAAGCCAATAGGAATTGCTGCTGAGCGCGCCAAAACACCCGGCCGGCAAACTTTGCACATGCAAGTTGTCTGCAGCGAAGGCGAATTGGCAGGAATTTTGCACCCCTCCCTGCTACCCAATTACACCATCTCCTAGTTCAGTGATGGCGAACCTTTTAGAGACCGAGTGCCCAAACTGCAACCCAAAACCCATTTATGCATCGTCGGGTGCCAGGTGGGTGTGGCCCATTGGGTGGGCGTGGCTGCGGTGGTAACGGCAGACTGGGTGGGACTAAAAAGTTCAATCAATTCCAACTTTGCAAGATCTTTTTTTTCCCCGCGAGAAGTTGAAATTGACTGATTGATTGAACCTTTTTTTTTTTTTTTGCACACGGCGGTGGAGGCCTAAAGCGAAAAGGTTTTATAAAACCCAGCGGAAGGGCTAGGACTGGGGCAACGGCGCGTGTGCCCACAGAGAGGGCTCTGAGTGCCGCCTCTGGCACCCGTGCCATAGGTTCGCCACCACTGTCCTAGTTCAAGGGTAGGCAACCCAAAACACTCAAAGAGCCACTTGGACACGTTTCCCACCGAAAACAAGACACTGGGAGCCGCAAAACCCATTTGATATCTAAAACGAAGATAACACTGCATATATCCTTTTTTACCTTTAATATATATATTATGTATGTATGTATGTATGTATGTATGTATGTATATGTGTATATATATATATATATATATATATATATATATATATATATATATATATATATATATATATGTTTGTGTGTGTATATATATAAAATAAAGGTAAAAAAGGATATATGCAGTGTGTTATCTTCATTTTAGATGTCAAAAGGGTCTCTCTTTCCTTTCTCTTTCCTCTCTCTTTCCTCTCCCTCTCCCTCTCTTCCTCTTTTCTCTCTCTTTCCCTCTTTCCTCTCTTTTTCTCTCTTTCCTCTCCCCCTTTCTCTCTTTCCTTTCCCCCCTTTCTTTTTTTCCTCTCTCTTTCCTCCCTCTTTCTCTTTCCTCTCTCTTTCTCTTTCCTCTCTCTCTTCTCTCTCTCTTTCTCTTTCCTCTTTCTCTCTTTCCTCTCTCTTTCTCTCTTTTTCCTCTATCTTTCTCTCTCTCTTTCCTCTTTCTCTTTCCTCTCTTTCTCTCTTTCCTCTCTTTCTTTCTCTCTCTCTCTCTTTCCTCTCTCTCTCTCTCTCTCTCTCTCTCTCCAGGTGAGGAGAGAGAGAGAGAGAACGAAAGGCAGATGGTGCCGAATGGGCGGGAAGGGGGAGTAGGACGGGAAGCAGTGGCTCCAGTGGCGGCAGCAGTGGCACGGTGGCGGCCACTACAGCATCGTTGGGAGTCTCCGCCACCCCCAGCCTGGCCACCACCCCCGCCGTGTCCTCAGCTGAATGGGCGGGGAGGAAGAGGACGGGAGGCAGTGGCTCCGGTGGCGGTGGCACGGCGGTGGCCACTGCAGCATCGTCGGGATTCCCTGCCGCCCCTGGCCCGGCCGCCGTGTCCTCAGCCAAACAGGTGGGGAGGGGGAGCAGGACGGGAGGCAGCGGCTCCAGTGGCGGCCACTGCAGCATCATCGGGGGTCCCTGCCGCCCCCGGCCCAGCCGCCACTCCCGCCGCGTCCTCAGCCACTTCGCCATCGTAAGAGGAGGGCGCCAAGGCCGGGTGCACCATGGGTGGGGGCTTTTTATTATGCATTTATCATATTATAGTGTATTCCATATTATTGTTGCAATGAATAAAATGTTTCTTTTATTTACGATATTTTTTTCTTTAATTTACTTGTATC